TATACTTATTTAAATAATGAAATGTTCCAATGTTCAGAATAGCATAGCATGGCACAGCATAGAACAGAATAGTATAGATTGTTTCAGTTGGCAGGGACCTGCAATGATCTCTAGTCCCACTGCCTGAACAGAGCTGACCAGAAAAGTTAAATCCTGTCATTAAGGGCCTCTTTTTAAGTCATTGACAGGCACAGGCACAGGGCATTGAGAACCTCTCTAGTAATCCTCTGCCATTGTTTGGTTATTCTCTCAAGAAAAGAAATTCTTCCGAATGTCAGGTCTGAACTTTCTACATTGTGAGAGCTCCAGAAATATCCCATGCCTTGCAGCCAGGCTCCCCCCAGGACACACTTCTGTCCTTCTGTGCAGCCCAGTGGTGGTGCCTGGCCTGCCCTCTCAGCTTTCCACCTGCCCACAGAGCCTCACCATGTTCTGCTTCTCCCACCTGCTCCTGCTGCGTGCCTGGGGCCATCTGGGACCATCTCTGCCTTGGCATGGGGGGCTGGGCCTTCCTCTGTGGCTTGGTAGCAACTCCTGGTATGAAACCCAGCAGCTGCCCTCTGTTCCTCGGCTCATTTTGCATGGTCAGCTTGGCTGCAGAAGGGGAGGAGCCCTGCATGGCACAGAGGAAAAGAGTTTTTTTGTGAGGTGTGCTCACAGTGCTAGTGGACATCCTGCAGAGCACATGATGGAGAGGGCAGTGGGGTGGTGGTAGGAAGTGCTGGGAAGCTTGAATGGAGAGTCATAGAATCACCAAAGCATTTAGGTTGGAGGAGACTCTGATCACTGAATCCAACCTTTGTCTGATCAGCACTGACAGCTAGATCATAGCACTGAGTGCCACATTTCTTGTGCCCCTCCAGAGGCTGATGCTACCACCTCCCTGGGCAGTTCATTCCAAGATTTAACAACCATGAAGAAATTCTGCCTGATGGACAACCTGAACATCCCCTCTCACAGCTTGAGGCTGTTTTCTCTTGTCCTTCCTGGGAGAAGAGGCCAAATCCCACCCAGCTGCACCATCCTTTCAGGCCAGTGTGGAGAGCAGTATGGTCTTGAGCTTCCTTTACTCCAGGCTAAGCAAACCCAGCTCCCTCAGCTGCTCCCCACAGGACTTGTGCTCCAGACCCTACCCCAGTTCTGTTGCCCTTCTCTGGATACTCCAGCCCCTCAATGACCTTCTTAGAGTGACAGGGCCAGAACTGAACACAGCACTCGAGGTGTGACCTCACCAATGCCCAGCACAGGGGGACAATCACTGCCCTGGTCCACACTATTGCTGGTACGGGCCAGGGTGCCACTGACTTTCTTGGCCACCTGAGCACACTTCTGGATCTTGTTCAAATACCCCCAGATCCTTTTCCACTGGGCAGCTCTCCACCCACTCTTCACCAAGACTGTAGCACTGCATGGACTTGTGGCTGAAGTGCAGGACCCAGCACTTTTCTGTGTTGAACCTGATGCAATTGGCTTTAGGCTGTCCAGATCCCTTTGCAGAGCCTTCTGACCAACCAGTAGATTGATCCTCCCACCCAACATGTTGTCATCTGGGAACTGACCTGGGGGCACTGGATCCTCTCATCCAGTTCATTAATAAAGATGTTAAACAGGACTGATCCCTGTGACCTCAACATTGATCCTTGGGGAACCCCACTAGTGACAGGCCACCAACCAGAAGTGCTACGCGAAGCTGTGTGACCCTGTACTATAATACCTGCCCCTAGACTGTACAATAATTTTAAATTTTACATGCTAGTCTTCTAAAATGTTGCAATATGGTACAGCAGCATATTATATTGGCTAGTAAAGTAAACACTCTCAAGTAAAATGAACAGCCCACTTAAAATGGTTACATAATCCTGAAAGAGGGTTTGAATTCTCTTACTGGAAATACTATTTTAGGATGGAAGTTTTGAGTTTCCTGTTTACCCTCAATATTATACTAAAATAAGGTGCTCAAATATTTTACCTTATTAGTTTTAATAGCTGAAAAAATATCTGGTTCTTTGTTTAATGAGAAGCAATAATCTGTCTCACAGGTGAACTCTGATCGTAGATGGTCCATATGTTTGGTAACTACGAAACTGTCAATTGGCATTTTAACCTCAAGAGTATTAGTTTAAAATCAGACATCTCAAGGGCTATTGGTCACCTTTGTTTGCGACTTAGAGTCATATATACTGTCAGCAAAGCCAGCTTAGTGCAGGAGCAGCACACAATGATGGCAGGCTCTCCTAAAGGAAGCTCCCCACTTACATATCCTGCTAAGACCTGACAGACCATAGAGGGGTTACCCCTTGTCTTCCAGATAAGACATGACATCTATCACCAGGTAGAGAAAGAGCAGATTTCCCTTCATCGAAGTTACAAAACCTGGAAAAAAAAAAAGCATGATAGAGTTATTCCTTTGAGCTCTTCTTAGTTACCAAGTAATTCTTGTTAAATGCCTTTCCCTTCTCCTCTCTTTCAAAAGGCTAAGCAGATATGCCTTCATATAAATCTTTACCCCAATACAAACTTCAGATGAACAAATCCACAGATGCTAATCTTGACCCAACCTGGAACAGAAAATTCAGTTTTACCTAGGTGTTGAAATAAATTTATAATATCATTTTGGGTCTCCTAAATAAAATGGTGGAGCTCTCCTTCTTCCAGAGCACCCGGAATCTCTCGTTTCTGCCATAAAACACCTTCCAAATATTTCAGTTGTCTTTCCCCACTCTACAGATGGGGAAATACACCTCGTTCAGTTCACACCCGTAAGTGAAGTGTAGCCTCTCTTCAACTGAGAAGACATTTCCAATCTCCAGCTTCCCATCTCCTCTGGTTTACAGCCTTGCTCCCCAGCAGGTTTCATTAGGCTGTGGTATGTCAGGCAGCCAGGAACCTGTGAAGTTGGATCCACTGCAAAGATTTGAGCTCAAGGGATGGAAAGACCGGAGAGAAAAGCCACATTTTTTGTGCTCCATTGTGCAAAGGTTTGCATCCACTGTGCACACTTGACGTTCTAATTCATCTAGGAGATTCACAGATCCAGCAACTTTCAGCTGGCAGCTTGAGTTAAGTCTGGAGAAGAGCCTGTGAGAATGCTTGGACTAGCAAAACAGGCTAAAACATAAGCTGCCTTGTGTTCTGTGCATCATTAACCCTAAATACAATCTTCTCCACTGCAGCCTTACCTTGTACCAATGGCAAGGTGGTGCTTTTCAGCTGCTGTGGCAGCTCTTTCTCTACCTGGTGACCCACCCATTTCATTAAGAAAGCTGTGGTAGGGTGCTAAGTGGCCTGGATGACACTGCAAACAAAGTATCTGAGCCAGAGATTTTTTTCATAGTGTCTATAAGAGCAAAATGATTTCTGCAGTAGCAAATATACCAGCATATACATTAAACATTTTTTTTTCCAAAGCAGAGTACTGCTTCATTTTTGTGCTTAATTAGCTGAAATTAACCAGGGAAAGTTAAATTGGGCATGTGTTTTTTTAAGCCACTTAAGTAAGGTAGTGCCGTCGCCTGGCATGCACCCTGTTCTAGCAATAAGATTCAACATGCTTGAAAGAAAAAAGACAAGAATGATTAAATGGAGTTGGAAAGTAGTAATTGTTCTCATTGCTTGAAGCAGACATTAAAAATAATTACAATTTGGCAGTGCTATATTCAGATATAAACAGTCAGTGTCTCAAAAGCTCCTTGGGAGTAAAAGTTAACAAAAATGAAACACCTGTTCATATATCAGTGCTGCTGCAGTTTAGCAGCATGCAGCATTCCTGAAGCTGTTAAATATATGCATTATGCCAACAAAAATTTGGCCACATGTTTACTTAAGGCCTGAATAAATATGGCCAATCTCTGGCAAAAATCAGATCAAATTCTTACTTGGGGTTAATCAGAGTGACAGCAAAATGATAAGAAAACTAAACATGACAAGTAATAATATCATGTAAATAGCTATTGTTGATGCAAAACAGAATGTTTGAAGGAAAAAATTCCATGTTCTGATGGACAGAATGTATTGATTTATTTACATGGTTTCCAGCTGTGTGAATGGAGCAGCTCCCATGGATGGCTGGGACATAAAAGATGAAGTGAGTGAGTTGAGCTAAAGCAAGGCCTAAGTGAGCACTATTCTCATGGGCTGTATCCACAAAAACCAAATCTGCAACCTGACTCAAACTGGCTAATCCTGAGGGTGTGAGGGAGAGTATTTTGAGTAGTAGAAACATATGTGTTGAAGTTTTGCAGTTCAAGTGCTTTAACTCTGCTTTTCTCTTTTGTGGTTAAACTTCCAGAAAACATAAAACTGAAATTTGTATTTGTATTTACTCTGGCCATGGAAAGTAAAGGCTGAATTATAAATTATCTCAAGACAGGTTTGGGTTTTTTCCTTATGAGAAATTCAGAAGTCTCATGTAAAAAAAATAATCTAAGGGTTAAGACTGTAGCTTCTCCTCTCTGCCTAGAGGGGCTCATGCAGGGCACAAGGACCTTGGCTGGCAAGCAGTAGCACGCTTTCTGGAGGGAATTTTGTCAAGTCCCCCTTCTTATGGAGGGCTGTAGTTTTCGGAACTCAGAACACATTTATTTTTTCTTCCACAAAGTGGAAGTACCAGACTGATTCTGTTATCCAATTTAGGACACAACCACAGAGATGGGAAAAAGATAAAGAATTTCCTCCCACATCTAAGAAGAAATAACCTTTATAATAAAGTGCTTTAGCCAGCAAATTGTTTCATTCATAGTGAGAATGACATATATAACCCAGTCCTAAACCTATCCCCCAACCTGCAAAAGTAACAGAATCAACAGACAAGGACCAGCATGTTACCCTTTAGACAGGGTAACAAATGGCTCCTACTCCAAAATGGGAAAATCTGAATATCCCATACATCCCAAATACTGAAAGATCTCAGATCCATGCTCCAAATCAGAATGATTGCATGGTTGCACCTTCAGCGATAACCAGCAGTAAATTAAGATGCATTCCATAAAAAACCAAATCCAGTAAGTTATAATATTTTTTTATTCATGTTAGAATTTCTATCAGTGTTTGAACATTAATATTTAGAGAGTTTGTACAATTTCCGTTCAAAGCTTAAAATGAGAACCACACTAGATCACAAATGGTAACTAAAACAGTTCAGAATTGTATGAATATTCACACTCTCTTTCTCTCTTAACACTGTTAAACACTTTCTTTTCTCCAGGGGGTTTACAAGGAAAAGTGTGCACTGTAATTGTATCTCAGCAGTGTTCCAAAACATAATGGTATCATCATTACATATAAACTCTTTAAAAATATACTTCTGTCAAAAGACTTGATGACTACTATGTACACTACAAAAATAAATTTTCATATAAATAAATTATATGGCATAATTTTATCTTTGTAACTGAAATGACACAAACCCACTCCTACCAAACAGGCAGAAAATGAGACCCAGTTTGATTCTTTTTTTCCTTTTAACTCCTTACACTAAAAGCTACAACAAGTCCATAATGTAAATGTTATATACTCTTTCCTATTTAACATTAGTAAGCACTCTATACAAATAAAAATCCATTAAACAGTAAAAACATAACTGTAATAGTGTTTCCAATAGAAATAAAATCCCTGCATTTTGTTTGTTATAAACTGGCATGACAAATACTGTAAGAAAAACATTCTTATGATACAAAAATATAAATATCACCCATGATTAAAAAAGTTAAGAAACAAAACCAAAACAAAATAAATGTTGCCAGCCACTGAGTTCCCCCCTTGCCAATGTGACTATCGAAGAAGAAGGTCTACATTGTGCACAAAGCAGCAGACAGCTCACCCACACACAAGCACGCGGGAAGCAGGGGCAGGTGGAAGACAGTGCAACTTGCCCTGGCCCCTTTCCCTCCCGAGGAAGAGCAGGAAGCAAGGCAGCCTGCGGCACGGAGCGGTGCCAGCGGGAGCCCTGCCAGCCTCTGACACGTGAGCGCACAAGCTTGGTGGCTGAGGGCGGCTTCCAATTAGCATCATACAGTTTTGCTGCGGAGTTTGTATGATACGAGACCACTATGCTGCTGCTAGTGCTAAATTGGGGCCCCTCATCTTTTTGTCATCAAGAGTTTCCATGTTAGACAGTGAACTGGACCAGTAGGCAGTTGCGACATTAACCCTTGGTGTGCACTGGAACAGTAGCTTATGTATCACGGGAATGACACCAGGCTCTCGCCACCTGCTCTTCGAGCGTTCACATTGGAGATCTGTAAACAAGTGCCTCATATCAAAGTGTTTTCAAGTGAGCAAAAAAGGCATGGAAATTTGTGCATTCTAATTATCCCCATTCGTTTTGCTGGCAAGGTCTGTAGGCAAAGATAGACTCCCTGAAGCCACTGGAGAAAAACACTTTCCCATCAAAGAATTGGCCACTGCTGTTCAGGTATATATAAAGAAAAGCCCCACCACTGCTGTGTTTAGAAACTGAATATTGGTTGTGTTTGGCTCTGAATACAAAACTGAACATCTACCTGCTCTAAAAAACAGCTTGGTGAAGGGCAGAAAAAAAAAAGATGAAAAAAGAAGACAGATAATGAAAACTTGTGTTGCATTATTTTAAATTACGGTTCTTTGTTCCTACGGTTTGTTTCCAACTGGAACACAGATTGTAGTGTTTTTCCAGACCCTTCACCTGCAGCAATCCCCTTTTAGTTTAAAATAATAGTACAAAAAGCTAAATTAGTTTCGCAAAGAGATCCCAGTTTAGCTGTTATAATTAAAAGTGCCAATGCAGCATGGGAAAACACAAACAATAAAGAAAATAACTACCCAGGCCTTATGTGTCATTACCATCCTGGCCCACCAGAAAGCCATTTATATTTAAAAGTTAATATACTTTCTTTTTTTAATCCTTCTATTTGATTTTTATTACTTACTATTAACTCCTTTCTGCCATGAAAATAAGGTAACCAAAGATACTGCTTTCAATGCTGTAATGACTCAGCTAAGCCATGGCTTACCATCAAACAATCCATTATCCAGCTTCTAATGCCATTCACAATTAACAGCATCAAAATAAGGCAGATGCTCATTGTATTTCTATAACCACCAGCACCTCTCAATATCCAGCACCTTTGGAAGTGAAAAAATACTGGTTATAGTCCTTGCACTTACCTGGTATATTTTGTGAGGAAAAAAAAAATCAAAGCACTTCATGAACTGTAATTAAACCTCACAACATTCCTGCGAGATAGGTAAGTGTAATTATAACCATTTTACAGAATGGAAAACTGAGCCATGGGGCAGTTAAGTGACTTGACCAAAGTCACGTGAAACAAGTCATTAAGGGTTTGGGAGCTGCAACATAATTCCAAACCTCAGCTCCCTGTCTTCTCTAGTATTTTAGCTGGGCCTTTTGATGATGGCAGTTTATGGTTGTATATATTGGTAAACAACAACAGAGTTTTCACTAGTGCCTACTAACAGGGAAAGCCAGACTCACATCAGCATCAGTGGGTTTGTAAGCCCACCAAGTGTTAACGTACAGTAAAAGATAAACTAGAGTACACCAGGAACATACACACAAAAGCATGCATATTTCCAGATGCACATTTGGACACATACAGCAAAACAAAACCTGCACATAACTAAGTCTATTTAAGCCTCCCAGATTAACTTGCTTTTCTTCATATTTGCTTATTTTAAAAATTACCACGCATAGCGTGTTTGAAAGTTAACAGTAACATTTCATACTACCACAGGGTTGTGATACACAAATTTAAAATATTTTAAACAGACATGTACCTTTAAAAAATCCTATTACATAAGCAATATTTGCATAGAATTATACAAGTAAATTATAAAATATTTAAGCAGCAGCAACTTATGCTGAAATTTAGAACTAGATTAAGCTTACTTGTGGCACAGATATCAATGTACAAGAAGTACAAAGAGCACACAATATTGTCCCCATTCTATTGCCCAAAGGCAAATTACTCCAAATTATACTACTTTACATTGTTCTTTTGTATATTACATATGTGTACATCTTTTAAATACTTAAAAGAAATATTTAACAAAATAATACAATAGGTTACAGTAACAGTGAACTGTTGTCCTGATGCAGCATGTCCTGTTCTACAACTTCAAGCAGTTCTTCTCTTCAAACAGTTCTGGAATACAGTTTTCCATCTTTGGCCTCTTCTTTGCTTCAGTTATTACCCTGTACAAATAAGGAGAGAGGAAAAAAGCAAACATTCACTAAATTTAAAGAAAAACAAACAAACCAAACTAAGCCAACTTATTTCATTATTCTTGTGGTTAGAGTTAGAGGTCAAGAAATGCTGGCTCTGCTTGCATCTCAGGCTTTAATTTCCTGATGAAGAAATACTGATTCAAATTCTAAAAATGTAGATGCTTTAATTTCTAAGTTCCCCGTTTCAGATAGCTGTGAAAAATCCACTCAAAAAAAATTCACTTCAACGAACAGTTGAAGGAGAAATATCCTACATTGCATACTGAGTTTATTTAAGAGTCTCTCACTACCGTACACTTCAGTTTGAAAAATCTAAACTCAAGTATTTCCTTATTCTGTGAATACTATTATTTGTCATATTTCTAGACTTCAAGGCTAAAGGCATCACATCTATTTAGGCTTTGGGATGTTTGGAGAGACATTTCATAATTCAGAATGTGGTTTCATCTTGAATTATCATAAAAATTTCCATCCAAATTCTGTGTGTGTGCATACATACGTGCAAAATATTCTAGAATCAAAATAAAATCACTTGCTCTGCTCAGACTGGTTTGTCACTGAAAAGCTCATACAAGCAAAGAGAAAAACCAGTAATCTGCAGATAAGTAACTATTCTTACACCTTATTTTTCCCCTGCAAGAGAAGAACATTGTAAAAATAGTGAGAAATAGTTTTTCATGTAAGAGCCCCAAGAAGTTTTCAGTGTAAAAACTGGGCAGCTCTGTCCTATGCAAACTTGCAATTGTCACTGCAGCTGTCCCTGGAAAGGCAGAGGTCAGCTCAGACACCTCCAGTGTATGAGGTCACTAGGGAGGTCTCTGAAGGCCTCTCCAAAGAGCAGGGGACACTCAGCTGAGCAGCAGTGCACTAGGCATGGTAGGACTTCCCACTTCTCACTTGGCTCATCTTCCAGAGGGATTCAGTCCTTATTATGGACTTTAAATTCTTTCATGACCTATTTTATTCAGGAGATGACAACTCCTGAAGTAGCTAGCAATTTTACACTCTCCTAAATTCTTTCATGAACTATTTGATTCAGGAGATGACAACTCCTGAAGTAGCTAGCAATTTTACACTCTCCTAGGCAATGTCATTTTATATAATGTGTTAGAGCATGCCTTATTCAGGGATCAGAAGACAGGACTTAGGCAATGGTAAATGCAGCTGCACAGCTCTGAAGATGTTGTACAACATCTCTGCTTTATTTTCCTCATCTGGTAAAGAGGGATTGTATGATGTACTTAACCATCTTGCAAAGCGCTTCAAAGCAGTAAATGTCTGAATGCACTATGACTTCCCAGTGTTGGAGTGCACTATGTTAGCCAACCTCATGTCCAGTGCAAAATGTACTATATTCACAGTTGGCAAATTTAAGGTGATCAGTGTGACCTGTAAGTACTGCTCTCTGTGAAAAGTTGCCTCTGAGAAACATTATTTTTCCTCTTTCTTTTGATCACACCACTGCCTGACACAGGCTGAACCTTGCAGTTACACAGAACGGACCTACCTTATTGTGAGCTGTTGCCAGGTACCCTTTCCTCACATTCAACATCTTGCAATTCTATAACTTCCACTTTAGAATTTCTTCTTTCACACTGCACATTAAAAGGCACGTGGGGGTCCTCAAATGGCACGTGGCCGGCTTCGTGGTGTCCCTCATAGGATGGAAAGCTCGCTCCCCGGGCGCTGTGGCTGTGCAGGGCAGGGTGGACAGCCACGGTGACGGAGGCCGAGGCAGTCACAGTGGTGATGGGCTGGCAGTAGGCTGCTCCGGCGGCGCCCGCGGCTCCGAACGCCGGGCTCCGAGCGCTGTGGGAATGCGCCTTGTGGCCCAAGCGATCCCTGCTGCTGCTGGGCCCCGAGTGCCCTTCAGTAGAAATCTCAAAAGCGTCCCTGCGAGGGCGGTACGGAGGCGGCCGTGGCCCTTCCCTCGCTTCCCTTTTGGGCTGCCTGCCCTGCTGCCACGGCTGCTGCGCGCCGAGCTCTGGATTCAGCTGCAGCCCAGGGCTCGGCTGATGCCTCGCTTCCGGCTGAGCCACCTGAGAGAGACACGCACGGTTACGCCTCTGACAAAACAAACCAAGCAAACACTACGCCTGCTCATATTTTATGCTGGGAATAATTATAATAATGCTCTGACTCTACAAAGGGGATGTTGTGGAATCTGATAATTGATTTTTCCATGGTTTTTGTCTGAAGTTATTAAAACCTGGAAAGCACATCTTCAGAAAAACACAGGATGACAGCTGAAAACATTATTGTAAGCTTCCTACACGCCGGTCTATCTCTTCAAAGGGATGGGTGACAAGCACTTGGTCTTAACTCAACAAGCAGAATTGCAGGCATTTGGAAAAGGCTATTCCATGCAGGGAACATACACAGGATGTTAGTAGGGTAGTTTGTATAGACTGTAGGAATCTGTTTTCTGATTTCCATAAAGAGCGTGAAGCACAGCAGCTACATCAGTCAATAAACCGTGACCAACTTCAAATGTGGCTGTGCTTGTACCTATTTCTAGGCCTCTGCTGAACAAAACCAGATCCGCATTGCAGCTCAGCATGCAACATCAGCAGGGGTAGGAGACACAGCTTTTTCACTTTCCTTTGAAATTGCAATTATGCCAATCCAGTAGCAAGATGCAACAAGGCCCAAGATTTGGTACAACACTTCAACTGCTTTCTTTTGGCTCTAATCTTTCTCCCCAAAACATGCTGTCACAGAGAGGTATATGATAGCAATCCACAAGGAGCTGTGTGAAAGAGGTTGGGATCTTGTAATCTCTCCTCCTCTTTCTGAAAACAGTCATCAAACAGACTGAGAGCTCTCTCTTGTGGCTGGTGCCAATAGGATGTAATAGCAATTACCCATGCCAAAGGCTTTTGTAACACCACTTTACCCCCAACTCAGTTCTAAAGGAGAGAATGAGGAAAACCTTCACTCCCTGCTAACAGGTTTTGGCACAAAGTGACAAAGCACAACCAGTCAGAAGGAGTTTTCCACAAAAATAAATAGTTTTAAAAAAACCCAAAAAAAACAAAACACACCAAAAAACTTCTCACCCTCCTTCTAGTCCATATGAAAGCTACTTACACCGGATCTTGCAAAGAGAGGATTCTCTGTTGCTTCCACTATTACTTGATGGACTGGCGCCCCAGGACCTCGTGTGGCCTCGTACTGATGCAGCTCTTCACTGATGCCAGACACCGTGGTTTGAGAGCTGTACTCAGAATCAGAGGAATCTGATGCATTATTTGTGTGGCCAGGTGGCAGTGCAAACCTCACAGTACCAGGGGGTGGCTCAGGAGATGGTGTGGGCAATCTGTCCTGTCCGTTGGCTGGAGAAACCTGATGGCAGCAACACTTTCAGTTACATTCAGCTAGCTTTACCCTTTCAATCACTAGTGCTTGACACAAACAATATTCTGCCAAATACACCCTGCCATGCCACAACAAGCTTAGCAGTATCTGTGTTTTCTGAACATAGATACTGAACTGAAAAAATTAATGGAAGTATAAAAGACATGACCTCCATCTGCAGATATGTATGTAAACAAGACTAAACAGTTTCTTCTGAGTATCATTATCTCTGGAAGAGCATGAATATGTGTACATGCGGGCACTTGGAAATATAAAAATAAAAATAATATGTGGCCTTTCCTCCCCTTTCAGCAAGCATTAGCAGTGATTTCATAAAATCACCTTAGTGTGCTGGGACAGTGTTATTCCATGTCTATTTGTAAGGAGAGATGGATACACACATCACAGCAATATATATGGTAAAAACATACATATACACATTGTTTGAGTATGAGACAGGTCATGCACACTGTTAGGAATTAAGAGATTACACATTGTTGTCAAGACTGTTCTACTAATATTGAAAGAACCCAAACACTTCTGAAATATACCAGCGCTGTATACATACCTTGTGTTTTATTCTTGTGCACACACTTATATATATACATGTGAAACATAGCACACGGATTCTATTGATATGTGATAAACATAACCCCATGTAACACAATAATTGTATTAACTACAGAGTAGGTAATAAATGATCTACAACCAAACATAAAGTTGGTATCTGTGAGTTTGGACTTGGACTTTGTACTGTAAAGTCATCAATATCTAAGTGAAGCCTGCCCCACATCAGAAATGCTCCATGAGGCAGGAGGATGGTGCAGGGAGAGGTGACTGGGCAGTGGGGACCTTCTGGCAGACCAATCATGGTTACCAAGGTGTGGTCTGCCGACCACCACTGTGTGTGTTGGTCCACACAGCCCTTCCTGGTGGTCTGCTCAGTTAAACACTTCAAGGAATGCAACAGAGCCAGTGAGGTAGGAAAGTAGAAGGTATGTGTATAAAGCAAACTATCTTTTGCAAAATATTGAGAGAAATCCTTCTTTTACAAAGTTGTTTGCATATCACATTATGATAGTAGTATAAATAACACTATCAGGTTTGTTTATTGTGACCCCTAAAAGAAGACTCATTAAAGAAAAGCTTTAAAAAAGAGTAGTATCAACTATGTAAGGAACAATACTTTCAATAAAAAATTATAAAAAAGCTTGAGAGGAAGAAACTTAATCCAAGAAAATAAAAAAAAAACTTTCTAAAACTGGGGGGGGTGATTGAGTGGGACAGCAGTGCAAACATAGTATTATTTTTCTGTTCACCATTAATTCTACTGACCTCAGGGTATGGTCCAAAGAATGAGAGAAGAACAGGAAGCAGCACCAATCCATTGAGAACTCCCAGAATGGTTAGGATTGCCAAAACAGCAAAGAAATACCTGAAGTACAGTTTAAATGGTTTGGGGGAGAGAATAACCACTGTTAGAAACAAGGGATTACAAATTACTCCCACATATGTTAAAATAATACAGATACTAATTTAACATATTATTAACATCAAAGGAAACAATTATATAACTTTCCATATAAGATATAGGTATTTTTACCTTTTGAATTAGAGAAGCTACATTCCACAAAGTGTTAGTTGAGAAAGGAAAGAAAAAAATTAAATTTGTTAGTTTCCCAGAATCTAGAAGCATGTAATGTTATTTATGAATGTGTTACACAAACACAAAAATATGGAATGTGCAGGGAATGGCTGAATGGATTGAAAGCACAAATACAATGAAAAGGGGCCCCCATTAGTGAAAACCCAGCAGAAGCAAACAAATGAAGTGAAGGGTGTAGAATTTAAACAATTTTGTGTAGAAGGAAAAGAAGCCCTCTTCTCCCAGCAGCTAATCCACTGTGAAATGCTTCTGCAACTTATAGCACAATGTCTAATTAAATCTACAGTATATCAGGTAAGGGTTTTCCTTGCCGTTCATTAATCAAACTTAACGCCTAGAATTCTGTGAGTTCCAGTTTCACCAAAAAGCTTGAATTGCAACTCTTTTACAACACAGGAACCCGCTTTCTGCAAAGAAAATGCCCATTCTATAGTAAGCTTCAGCATTGTACTGAGTAAGAGCGCTCCACAATGGCAGAGCTGCATTGCAGACTAATCTTTTGTTGAACAATTTAGCATCTCTGAATACTCTTGTTTTGCGTCAGCCAATTCAAACATAAAGGCTGAAATACTATGGAAGAAGAGAAAAGTGCACAAGTAGTTGTCCTTTCCCACCACTGAGGGCTAAGGTCTGGGATCCTTCATGAATACCAAGGTAAACCTGTCAGTAAAAGGAAAGTCTTGCTAGTTGGTATTCGGCACAGCTGGGGCTCAGACTAAACTTAAGGCTGCGTTGTAAGTAATGATTTCAAGGACTCAGTCTTGGTAAATTCCTGGAGGAGAAGGCAAAGGAGAAGAACAGAGGGGCAAGTTTGCTACTAATGGGTCTGCTGATTACATTGTCTAGCTGGCAACAAACTTTACTGCCTCCTAGTGTCCACATCTGATCAAATATATCAGACTCCTGTAAAACTATAAATATCCTGCTATTGTAAACATTTGGGAATTTCTGATCTGCATTAACAAAAATCAGCAAGCCAATCTACTCTACTAACATAAACCACCAGAACTTTAAACTGGGACACAGATCAACAACAGACATTTAAAACATTTGCATCTCATCCATCTAACGTTAGAATAAACAGGAGGATTATAGCTTTGACCAGTTGGTGTATACAGTGTCTGTTAATTTACTTAATCTTCCACATTGCTGGACTAATCTGTCGCTTTCCGGAAGTTTAGGATCTTCTTCGCCCACTCTAACAATGCTCAGGCTCCCCATAGTTTATTTTATTATATTTTTTAAACACAGCAAACTGAAGTGAGATTGTGCTATAAAAACAGAAACTGATGGCCAAAAAAAGTAAAATAACATAAGTTGAAAAGTTGAAAGGCTCATTTTGTAAACTGAGAGCACATCCAATCCAAATTTGGTGTGAAGGGCTGCTACAATCTTCCATTTGCTATGACACAAAAATGTGTGCCAAAATCTCATCTGTTAAGTAGGAAAGTAGCACACCAAAAATATACCTCTGTAAATTTAGGTTAAATCTACAGTAATCTGTAGGTCAAAATGTTCCAACCCTTACAAAACCAAGTCCTAAAAGAATAATTCTATTTCTTTGATACCAATTCAATAAACTAAAAAAATAGTGATCTGACATGGAATACCTGTGTAATAATAATCTTTATGCAGGTTTCATGAGATCTAACTGCAAACTGCCTGCTTTCTTCAAATCTCTTTCATACATAAACAAAAAGCCTGATGAGATTTAGCAGTCATTCTCTCAGTTCCTGCCCCTGACATTTGTTGTTCTTGTTGTCAAATGGATGTCAGTTAAGTCTAGTCATCTATCCAGCTTATGTCTACCTAAGTAGTTAAGCCATCTTTCAGAGCATTTTTATTTGGCCCAGTTCTACCTCAGTTCCATTTTAGGGCTTGGATTATTTTTTTGTGTGTGTGCTATAGTTTACCACAAAGAGCCTGTGTTACTTCTAAGATTAGCCATTTTGCAGAGCTCCACAGGTTGTTTGGAATAGAAGAGGATCTGTTTCATTGCACTTCTCAAATTCCCCTCAAGAAAAGACTTGCTTTCCTCTATACTTGACAAACACACATTCTTAATTATATTCACAAGAAACAGCCTGCTTGTAGTTCTAAACAGAAGGGCCTTTAGGCTTTGCTGTACAAAATTTTAGTATGAAGTTCTGTGTTCATATTTATGGCTCCCCAGCTCCCAAAAAGCGCCTCCTCCCCGCCACATCCCCCCACCCCTTTTCCTCATTATGTAAAACCTACATAAGGATAGACGGGGAAGGCCCTGAGAGAGTCACTTGCAGAACAGTTGAATATTTGTAGGTTCACATGTCTTTTGCATACAAATTTTTATGCATACAAGAAGTCTGGAGGACCTCGAGGCTAAAGGTCAGCTGCAGCTAATACTGGACAATACAAGATGCTTTGAACTAATTCAAACCCAGAATCAGCAAACTTTCTAAAGAGCGACATTTTTGTGTTCCTTCGTGCTAAGTGTCAGATTTTCCTGGAACAGATTTTAATGTCAGCAATGGAAACACTACCATGTCTAGCAAGTAACAAGGAGTTAATAAAACAGAGGGAAAGCAGGGCCATGATGTAAGCATACTTAACACAGCATGCATAGTAATAAAATGACAGATTCACTGAAGTGAATAAAAATTAAAAGCACACTTATTTTTATTTTTGAAAGAAATTCAAAACACAAAAATCCTTTACCTGACAATGAAATCAAACTCTGATCCTGCAAGCATTAACACCCCAAGAAGAGTGGACACAGCCCCATCCAGCACTGGTGCGAACATGTGTTCCAATGCAAGGACAGCCCTATGGTTCCTGTCTCCTATGGCAGTTAAAAACGCCTGTAAAACAAAAAAGTCCATTTCCTTAGGCAGATATATACAACCTTCCAAACAGCCTCTCTCCTAGCATACACAGAATTCCATCAGTTAATTAGCTAAACTACAGTTTACGGAAGTTATCTCTGGAGCTGCCTAACCCTTGAGAGAAGGCTTGACCCTGCAGATGTACCACGTAGCAGCTGCTGAAGTCACACAACCAGAGTAAGCACTGATAACAGAGTCAGACCATAATAATTCTGGAAACAATGCCTACTTGCAACAGTAGCCTTTTGTCTCTGGATTTGCCTATTTCCACCTGAAAAGAATCCATGAAAGCACTTCAGGTGTGAAAATTGCAGGGCTGCTCCTCTCATTCTCATGGGTCCATGGCTTCTGTGACTTTTTTAAATATTTTCATTTCACTCAAAAATTTTTTTGAAACTTTTAATACTTCGAAGCTAGTAGTTCTATACATGAAAAATTATGCAAAGAATAGTGCTGAACATGGTACTGTCTGAGCAACAATATCACCAGTGAACTGTCTTCATCCCTGCAGCTCTGTATGAATAAGCTTTATCAAGAACATGCAAATGCTAGTGCCATAAATTCATTACAAATTTGTCAACTCTGTGTATGGCTTAATGGTTTAAGAAAACAAGAACCTGACTGATCTTCTTACTGTGATTTGTAAGGGCTCTCTTTAGTTAATTCCCTGCTGGCTATTAAGATGCGTGCTGAAGCAGCTATCTTCCTCACAGTCCTGGAATTTAAGTCTCTCTTCTCTAGAACTAGGAAAAAACTAGGGTCACAATTCACAAGCAATAGCAGAAAACTGACCCACAACAGGATTGTGAATCACTCTTAAACTCAATTAAATTCAGCATTAAAAGTTCCAGCACTATCTTTTTTGTTTATACAACACTGATTTGGCTATTTATATGTTCCACAGTTTTTATCTCCAGTGTCTATGTGAGAAAACCACCATTTTCAGTTTGTTTGGCATTTTACCTTCAGGCACAGGTGACCTATAAAGTCCTGTAAATTAAATCAGCTTCTTCCCATCTAGAAACAACTGTTTTGTCCTTTTTTTATTCAATTTTTCCTGGTTTAAGTCTTCAATACTAGGAAGCTGTCATTTCTTTCTTCCTTATCTACACTAACACTTGCCAAATGATTCCAAGTCCTAACAAATTTATTTGCCTCCAAAAGTCTATCTGTAGACTGGATCTAACTGGATCACCTGAGGGATCCAGTTGCTCCTCTTTAACCTTACCCTACTTCCACTTTGGTTTTTCTCAAAATTATTTTTTGTATTTAGGGTGACTTTTTGTGCTCTAACTCTGTACATCATCTAAACAACTAGATAAACAGTAGAAAAATATTATCCTACAAACTGCAAGTTTGTGCCAATGGCTTCTGAAAAGAACATGAAGATTTTACAAATGGAACACTAAGTCAAACACATTCACATTCAAGAAGTGCAGAAATACCAAATGCCACAATATCTGATTTTGAAAAACTCCTTTGAGGAAATTTCCTCTTTTGAGAGATAGAGAATCTACATGCAAGAGAAAACAAAAAGCTGTGTATCACTAGTGCAGCAACACTGAGGCTTCAGACAAGGATAATGAGAGTCTGGAATGAAGCAAGGTGATTTAAGATCACTGTTTCCTCTATATAATTACATTAATCAGACAAACAGGTATCACAGTTAATGTATTCTCTCTTGTCTCCTGGGAGACTGACTCAATAGTTAGGAACCACCTCATCAAGGTCAACTCTGTTCCATTGAGACAAACAGAAAGGTACACAAAACTGTGACCATTTTCCTTCTGAGAATCATGTCACTGACAAGAAACTGTAAGAATTTGTGATCTGAACATTGCCACCATTTTATTTTAAGATGTTTTTAAAATGTTTCTTGATTTTACGTACCAAAGCAACATGAACAGTGAATTCCACACCAATGCCAACAGAAGCAATCAGGATAACCACAGGCACTGCACTCAGCTTTATTCCAATTAGACCCATCATGCCAAACAGCTCCACAGTCATCAGAGCCAGCACCACCACCTAGATGATTTGAAACATCTGTTAGTATCTTCTTATACTCCAGATACTGAGGAGAAAGACATTTCAAAACAACATGGTCACCATAGGACATATTCCTCAAAGCCATTCTGTATTCCCAAAGACAATCTGCTCTTACATTTTTCTCAATGGCAACAAGTGCTGAGTAGCCAGTCTAAATTACGCCCCAAGAACCAGTTAACACATGAAGCACAGGCTTTGTATTTGTTACATCAGTGAGCTGAAAAACCATTTATTCCTCCTTATCAAGGATACTCCCAAAAGGTACATTTTTCTTTTTCACCCATCTTTCAGGCAATCCTTCCAGAAAAAGTATCTTTGAACTACTTGTATTTGAACTCTCTTTTGTACAACTGCACATATAAGTGAGGATGTCAAAGCACAGAAGAAAGTGAATGCCATAATCAGCTGATGAGTCTCAGGTTACAGAGGGACTCTGAGCTTTTAAGGTATCTGAGGGGGATTGACATGGACAAAGTGAACAGTTAAATATAAGAGGAAGCTTTTATTTTTCTTTCATCTACCTTGTAAAAAAAAAAAACTGAGGAAAAGGAAGGAAAGGAAATCTGGAGAATCAACTTTAAAAGTAGCTAAAACCAAGGTTAAAAAAAATAGGCACACTTATAAAAACAATGGTGGACTCAGAAAAGAAACTCCTTTTCCAAAGGAGAAGAAGTATGCACTACAATAAATGATTTTATAAGCTAATGAATCAAGCATAATAACATAAAATTGCTTGATAAGGTGCTATGAAAAATATTCTAGACTAAACATTTACCTTTTAACATACCTGTCATATAAACATACATTAAAAAACTAGTAACTGCTTTATGCTTTTCTTCTTCTCGTGTTTTATAAACCATACAATAGTTTATGGAATTTAAACATAGGGACGTTATCATTCAATTTAACTTGAATGTTTACTGAGAAGCTTTTGGTGCCTTGCAGAAAGCATGGGGGAGTATTCTCTGCAGTTTACAATTTTATGCTCTTTCTCCTCACTCAGTTACAGGCTTTCCAGTCTGTACCCTACAACATAAGCATTTCAGTTTTTTCCAGAAATATTGCATTCAGAAATGGCTGGGAAAATTTACAGAAAAGCTAGTCATAAGCAACTGCCTTGAAAAATAATTATGTGTGACAAAAGAAGAGAAGGAATACAGAATTAGAAATTGTTTTAATAAAGCTCTTAATTTTCCTCTGTGTCTTTATTTCTTATGTTAGCGTGCATTTGAAGAAGGGTAAAAGTTTATATAACATTCTAAGAAACCTTTAAACCTGCAAAAAAGGTGGCAGAAGATTAAGGTTATTAAGGTTTGTACCTTCAGCATGAACCCTACCCCCTCAAGTTGAATAAATATATAATGAATGATGCAATATACATACTCCACCAGAGGCCCAGACATAAACAAAACCTTCCCGACTACAGCAAGAGCTATGCTGAAAGGAATTTGACTTCAACAAAGACCCTTATAATAAACTTACAATGATCCCAGCTGTCCAAGGGTTTAGGAGAAAGAGGGCACACACCAGAAACGTGCAAGCTAAAACCACGCTAATGGATAAGAGGAGCCAGTGACGAAGTCCAATGTACTGCTCCCAGAAGAGAAATGGGTAACCATTAGGGTAGCTGGAGATCCCCAGGCTGGTGTAGTTATTACAGATAGCTCTCACTTTCTCGATAGCCTCCACAAAGTCAGAAGTTTCACGCAATCCATTGAGGTAGAAAGGAAACTGAGCATATTCTATGGGCTCGGCTGCTGGAACTAGGAAAAAGATAGCAGTGTTAAAATGCACTTTTGGGAAGAAGGTGATATACAGAGACCAGAGTTAGCAAAATATTTTATTCTTCACAGCAAAATGAATAAAAGATGGCCAATTTAAGTTTACTTGTTTGGAATTAATTATAGTTTTAAAACTCTCCAATAAAGAAAAACTGGAAAGTCTACATGAGATTCCTCTATTTTATCATGCAGTGTAAATGGGATGAACACAGCCTTCACCAGGTTCCCTGACAGTTATATATAATTTAACAGTTATCTTTCAGTCCATGTATTTAATCCTGATCAGTGTTATAGTGCTTTTTACTGAATACCTGGTCAAAAATTCCAAACTGCAACATAAGAGTAGACAATCGCATAATTTAAAAATTTTATCCAACTGCTCCTCTTTTATGCAGTTTCTTCAAAATCAAAGGTCATTTCCCTGAGATTAACTGAGATCCACTGACACAAAACTACAGAAAAAATGGACTTGAGCAGGTTGGCTGTTTTTTAAAGATTTCTATCGAATATCTGGAAATTCAGATGCAGAAATACACATTCAGATGGAAATTAGTGGAGGAAAAATCCCCATGATATAGAAGTAATGGCTTACTGAGGAAATACATAACCTTTTATCCTTTAATAACTTGACAAACCAACACTCTCCATACTGCTTTTTGAGTGTAATGCAAGGTCTTCCCTATGACTAGAAAAGAAAAGGCTTCTTCAACAAGCTTTCGGTTACTGCCATTGTGTGTTCCAAACCCTGCAGCTTCATTCAGTTGACTTGCTTAATATGATTTGCCCTATTACAATCTCAACTATAAATTTTCATTAAGACAAAACTTGGCTGACTGCCACAAAGCTCTGGGGTTTGGATACACTGAAGCATGGTTATCCAACCTCATTTACAAGTGCACCGGTTGTCCCCTATATGCCCTCTCTCCTTCCCTACTGGTGTCCAACTAGCAATCCTCAGCTGAAAGCTGAATCAAAGCCTGCTTTTGGTATTGGTGCCAGGAAAACAGTGAATGGTGTGAAGTGGGACTTCTCCCCTAGTCCCTCTAGCTCTTGTACGATATCAGTGCAGTAGCTTAGTGTATGAGTCACCTTGGTAAAAACTTCCTAGATATTAAGAATTGAGAAAAACCATGACAGAATTTCAGTAATGAAATTTCAGAGTAACTTAGGCAGGAATTTCATGAAATGTCCAGGTTTCTGACACAGACAGAACTATCAGGTAACACTTTAAAAATCAATGCTTACTATAAATTTTTAGAGCCTTAGACTGTTCTGTAACTCATTATCCAACATGACAACACTCTGCAGCAGTGCTTGGATCTCCTATGACTACAGCATCCTGTGCAGCATCAGGGGTTACTGGTGCTTGAAGGAAGGAGTGGGGGCACTCGTGTAAACTGCAAGATGTTGGGATGAAACGCTACTTACTCCTCAGCCGTGTTTCTGGCATGTAGTCTGCTTTGTCATGGACCCACTCCGGGCGGTGCGGGCGGATGTTGGCTTGCGAGGCGGCGTACGCCACAGGGTCATTGCTAACCCAGGCTGTCAGGTAGATGTAGAAAGCATTTGGGTTAATGATTCCATCCGCATCCACCAGACGCTGTTTAGTCAACTGCAAAATGGGAAAAGATTAGAAGCCTTTCAGAGTAAGTTTTGCTTTCAGAGCTCCTGCCATAATGCTTTCAACAAATGGCCTGGAGATGCAGCACATATAGGAGGGTAAAAGCAAGAGAACATGAATCTTCACTTGAAGATCAGTAAACTATCGTTGGACAACACAAACAAAATCTAAGAAAATGCAGGGACAGTGGTTATTTATGTATTAGTACTCATATAATATTTACAATAACCAGAAAATCAGCAGATGGTTCCAGAATACACTGAACCAATTAAATCCAAATTCTGAAAGACTGCAGCCAAGAACAAAAAACAACCAAGTTGAAGAAACATATTTAAACACACGGAAAGAAAACCTGGCAAGAGTCCCTATACATGTCTGTGTGCAGTTAACCTCTGTTGTTAACACTGAAGGAAATGCCACCCAGTAAATGGAGGAGAGCTATAAAAATAAAACAACATCTGTATAAATTTTGCTAACACTTGCCTCCTATGACCTATGTATTCAGAAAATGCCCAACGTCAAAAAAGCAGACGACTGCCCCATGTTATTTGGGTCACTGTGGGCAAATGCATCTGTGGGGTAAACAGCAGTGGTGTACTTCCAGGGTTCTGTTAGCCAAATCCTGCACAGCTAGAGCTCTTACAGAGGACTCCATGGGTGAAAGTATTACTGGGGCTTTTTGTTTTGTTTATTTAAAATTCTGGCTGAGCTCCAGTTCCAGGTCTTTTTAAAAAAAAAAAAAAAAAAAATGACAGAAATAAAAAAAAAAAAAAAAAAAAAAAGTTGGATTTGAAGGATCTGGATTCAATTAGTCCACAGGATATGCAACAACTGTATGTCTTCAAGCTGTCTCTGGAACTGCACAGTACAGTGCTCAACCAACCCCTGTGGGTGCACCACACTTTTCTCCCTCCCAGGCACAGGAAATTATATCAGCAGCTCCAGTCCAATTGCATTTGTTCCACAGCGTACCTGGTACACTCTGCTAAACAAAATCTCACTGAAGGTTTTCTCTTCAACTCCCTTTCTTTGCCTAATTCATTGCTGAAGCTTCATTCAGACCTGACAGCATGTTGCATGTTGCTATACAGCAGTGTGTTTCACACACTACAGTAACTTTGAACAATGTACTCTGTAAATCTGTCACCTTTAATGCCAGGAAGAAAAAAGAAAGACAGTAAGCAGAACTGCCAAGAAGCTCATTAAAAACACTATTTTTCTGCCTGAAAGCACAGTGAGTTGATGATGACTCCTAGAGAAGAGAAGGTATGTTATTAAGAATTTCTTCTTCAGCATTTGGAATCTAATTTTAGCGTAAGGAGTCATTCCTAATGTATTTCCACTTACAAATGGCTACAGCAAATGCAGTCATATACTGTGGTAACCTCAGGCATATTTTATTTACTCAGCTTTAACAACTGCCATTTGTACTTCCACAGCACTTTAGATGTATTTAGTGATGGTGGTACAAGAATATGATACTGCATGTAATCATTTCAGTCTCCTTCCTCTATAATTCATCAATATATTTTAAAAAATGTTCTTCTTTGAACAAATCAGTAGGGAAAAAACAAATAATTGCAAATGTCTGGCATTGGACTAAATTCCATACACCTATGGATGCAGAGAAGTATTTTTCACAACAATTTCCATGGAAACCAAGCATGTCTGGCATGGGAGCACACAACGCATACCACCTAGTAACAATGAAGGACTGGTATTTCTCATGTTGATTTGAACACTTTGCAACATAAGCCCTACTGCATCTGAGGAGTGGCTTCAGCAACATCAGCAAAGCCATACAAGAAAGGCTTAATTAAGACAATCAGCTCCTTGAGCTGGAGAAAAGATACTACAGCCTCCATAGACCTCCCCCCACTCCTGATGACTTGTGTATTGTTATGTAAACCAGCATGGACTCTGATACACTACCTGGCTGATGTCAATGGGCTTTGCATGGTTGCCTGTTTGTACCAAGAGTTTGTAAGCCAAAACAGCATCATCAGAACCATTTTTGTAGCTGTTGTAAGTGATCTTCCCAGTTTCCCAGTCGCTGTCAAATGCATCCTGAAGTCCTGAGGAGTTAAGAGAGGCAAGCAGGTGAATAATCACTATTATAAACAATTTTCAGAAGGAGAAAGAATAATGATGCTTTTTCAGCTCTGAATCAGGATGAAAATTATCAACCTGGTGCCTCCTAAATCTGGGGCTCTGCACTGTCAATGTGTGGGAAGTGTCAGCTGCATGTCTAGTATTTTGCCCAAAGAAAGGCAGAGGAAGCAAGAAAATGCAAGGGGGAAGCCCCAGGAGTCCCCAGGCTGTCCAGACCTGCAAAGCTGAGCTTGTGAACTGGCAAAAACGGCTTCCCCTCAAGGGAAATTGAAGATCTTCCCCCAAGCATTCCACTTGTATGGGAAAGAGTTAATCTTGTCTAGAACAGAAAAGGGCTGAGCTCAGCCCTCATCCAGCTTCACCATTTTACAACCAGAGGAGGCATAAGTCTGTTACCTAGAAGGAAAACATTCTCCTTACTCGCCTCTGCCTCACTAAAACCCTGGCTGAGTGCACTGAGCCACAGAGGAGGACACACACCGCTCTCATTACTGTTTTGAGCTACTGCAGAGCACTGGGGCAATAGCTTCTACACTATAACCAGAAATTCCACTACGAGCAGGGAGAAAAACACACTCAAACTTTCAACTTCAAACAGCGACTCAGCTGCTCCTCAAGCACAGCGTGAGTGAACACGATTTTGTCAATTTGTTCCATCTGTTCAACTTGTGCAGCTAATACAAGTCATGGGATCTGCTGCCAGCACATGTAAAGATCACAGCCAACACCTATTCACTCTCAACTGTTATTTTCCTCCTTGCCACCCTTCAAGGAGGAGGGAATACCTCACAGAAGAAATTTGGATCAGATTTAGTACAGGAAGCCACAGCCCAGTACAAGGAGGCTCTGTGCAAGCAGATGACAAACCGCATGTCCAGGGAAGGGAAGAAAAAAGCCGGGGGAGTGGCGGTGGAGGAAATGGTCGACCCACCTCACAGCTGGGCCGAGGAGCTGTAATGAAAACCATCGCTGCAGGCTGGATAGGTTAGCTACAGCTATGCTGAGATAAGAGCACTGGAAGAGAAAATGCACCTGGCTGACTCGTCTCCGGGGCAGAGTACCCATTCCCATTGACAAACCCTTCCTCTCTTCCTTAGAAAACTGCCTCCCATGCTGTCTCACTAAACCATGTCAAATCAGGTGAAGCCAACGGGCTGAGAACCAAACGATGAAAGAAGCCTGCCAGATGTCTGCATGCAGTCCTCTAGCACTGCCCAGGAGGAGGACAATTTGCCATCAGGCTTTCTGACATCACCAAAGGACTTTGAGGCTCCCTTTCAAAAAAGCACTGTTTGCTGGCACTGCAAGAGGGGAAACATTGGTAAGAGTATACAAAGACACCAATCCATCCCTTCTGTGCCAAGTCCAGCTCCACATCAGTTTCTCACAAAGTGGCCAGGTGAGAGTATTTGGCCTATCATAACAGCGGAAAAAACCACAACGACTTTGGAAAGTAAAGATGATGCTGTCAAGAAAAGCACATGGAAAAGAAGGAGATGACCTAAGAACAGTCTAACTTCTAGTAGAAGTGTCTTCCTTCCACAGAAGGAGCACACAAATTGCTATGATAGACAGCATGTCAGGGCAGAGCTTTCACATAAACATCCCACCCCTGTCAAGGGTCTCCACAGACACAATAATAAATAAATCCATTGGCATGTGACATTACCAGTTTGAAGTTGCAAAGAAGGGCATATACTTGGAAACATTACTGTAGTGGGTGAAAACTCTACTCTCTTATGTCTCCACCACATCCCCCTGCTCCCCTGTTCTCACTAGTTTGGTCATCCTCCACACCTGCTCCTTTTTACACTTTTATTCTTCAGCCAGCTCAAACACTTTATCTTTCAGGTCATTTTATAACTAACCTTGCTGAAACTGAAAGTACAGAAAGAATATTAAGAAACCATTGGCAGTTGTACTTAATTTCTGAAGAATTTCAAACTTGCAAGAAGTAAAATTGGCCATTACACTTTGAAATTTGTAGTAGACTTTGCTGCTTTTATGTTAATGACAATTATTTTAATAGACATTTAATCTATCATAAATGGGATAAATTATATGTTTCTGGTCAGAAAGATAAAAGTATCTTGTTGACATCTTTCTGCAGAAAAGTTATAGAAATTAAGGGAATTTTTAAAACTTTATATATGGGATTTTTTCACATAAGCAGTCACTTTTGCTTAGTGCTTCAGAAGAAAGTGACAATATTGAATATTATATAGGAATGGGGGTGAGGAGGGAATCCTACCAGCTCATGTGAGCAGTTGCCATCTTGAAACACCAGATAATATTTCTCTTCGCAAAAACAAGCCTAATTAGAAGCCATCAGGGAATCCAAGCTACCTCATTTACATTTGGTCACTAACAAAAGCAATGTTAACATTTACAGTTTAAATGAATGATTATTGCGAACTTTTCTTCTGCTGCATTTTAGGTAACAGAAAAGATGGTAACATTAATAATACTAGAAAGCAAAATAAAAGAGATCTCTGAAAAGAGAACTGCATGAGGCAGAAGGCAAACTCCACTATTAGATGAGGAAGAATGTACAGCTAAACCAAGGATGCCTTCTTGGTAAAAAAGGTTGCATCCTTCATTCTGCTGGACAAATATGACTGTGTCAGAAGGCCATCTTGAGCCATTAACCTCTGGCACTGGATTCACAGTCAAGTTGGCAGGAATTAACCATGCAGGCCAAAGCTGTTCCTGCTTTGATTATCCAGGCTTTCAGTACATAAAACTATTCCAGTAGAACTGTTCTACCTCACAGAGGATTCTCCTAAATCTAGCCTGTACCTTGTTAGTAAATACTGCCTTCATCTTTCCTTCCCTTGACTCCTCTGGCTTCAGCCATAGCTGGCAACAATCAGGTGTTATTCTGCCTGTTAGTCTGCACCTGTAGATAATTCCCCAACTATGAAAAGCATGGCAGCTTTTAGTACAACAGTCTAGCTCCCCCTGTAACATCAATATCACTTGAAAACATAATATCTTTCTGTTGATACATCTCAATATCCTCCTTTACAGCCTCCTGAACGCAGTATCACACTCTGTGCAAAGAGCCCTGCAACTTTACAAAGCAGCAGGGTTTAATTAATTGTGACCCCTTCAGAAAAGGTGGGGAGGAAAGGTAAGGATACAGACCTAAATGCAAATTAATAATCATAATGATTAATTCTAAAGCTGTGTGTGATCAAAAGGCTGATCCACGGCCTGTCACAGGGCTGGCATGTCACATGGACCACAACAAGTCACTAAGTGCTTCCTGGAGTCACCCTGACAGTAGCAATAACATTTTAGCTCCAGGCAGCCTGTCAGCATGCCCCGGGCACCAGGAATACACACAGCTCCTCTAGTGGAAGAAAAGCAGAGAATAATAATAATAATAATAATAATAATAATAATAATAATAATAATAATAATAATAATAATAATAATAATAATAGGCTGGCTAATGTGGACTAGAGGGGAAATGTAACTATGTGCTAAGTACAGAGTGGGAACACTGTCATGAGAAGAGCATGTCTGGAAAGAGCACACATGAGCACAGTCATGGGGACATGCAGGCCCTTGGCTCTCTTAGCACAAGAGAGACACAAAGGATTGCAAAGAGGACAGCAAGGCACCCAAAGTGAAAGAGGTTTGGGAAAGTATGTGGTGCACCTGACAGAGGGCAGGGGGAATGGGAACACTCCTGGGAGTAACACCAAGTGGGCCAGCCTCCAGCATTTCACTTTGAGCAGCCTGCAAGGGAGCAGATCCAAGGGCACCTCCTCCTGACTTTATCGCTGGCAGACTGCGCTGAGGTTGAGTACTAATAAAGCTTCCTGAGCACAGTCTCAGGTTTCCATCTCCCTCATGGGAGAGGGGGAAAAAGAGAAAGGAGGGGACACTAGACACACTTTTTCCTACTGTTTTGGAACAGAAAAAAAATAACCACAAATGTAACAAAGTAAACAGCAGAGGCTTAAGAGAATTTGGAAAAGCGTATAGAAGGATGATGGCTTAGAATTCTAGCAAGTATAGTAAGGTTCCAATCCAGCAAACATCTAGCTAAGTTGGATTTTCTTCCTGCCAGTAATGCCATCCCTTAGAGCTCAATATGCTTATGTGAGCAAAATATTTTAAATAAAGCTTCCAGTAAGTAGACTGCAATGAATGGATCCAATGTATTTATTTAAAAACCATTAAAAACCCCCAAAGCTAACAGCTGAAATACTGCTTTGCATTATTTAGCAATGCATTAAACACATGGGAAACCTCATTTTGTGTAGATTTGTCACTTACATGAATCTGCCTTCCCAATATTGTTTAACATATTTTCAGAAGGAATAAAATAAATCAGATACTGACAGTTACTTATGTTCTCTAAGAATCAGTGGCTGCAGTGATCATCTGTACACAATTAAGTTTAAAATTTACAGTCTCACCAGGTCAGCACAATTTTTTTTTTTCTTGGCAAAAGTTTCCTAGAAATTCTCCCAATAAAACACATAACCCACACTGAATTTTCTTCATGCCAGCAGTCCCAGTTGAAGCCAACAAGATCACTCAAAAGCTGAGAGTTAGGTCTGTGTCAGAATACATCACCGAACAGGGATTTTTCATTCACTGCTCCAAAAACACTCACCAAATATTTATTTACCCAAGACACAGGGCCATATTTGGCCATAATGCATAATGCCTCATCAGCTGCTTAGACACTAATGGAACAGATATGATCCCTTAAAGCTTCAAAACCATCCAACTGGGGCGCAAACTTAAACACAAAGAAAATAAGAGACAAAAAGTGAGCCCACATGTGGGTTCAGAACAGCACCTAGGCATTCTCCCTATTATCAGAGCCTTTAACTCTGTGTCTGTACTACAGCAATACCACTGTGAACAGCTGCTCTTGCTGACAGATTTGGAAAAGTTTCTGTAACGCTCTCTTACCTTGCAGCCAGTCTCGAAAGTAGTGCAACCACATTTTGGGGAGCTGCCTATCCTCTTCCAACAAAACATATGCCACGTTACTGAAACTTCTGTGAAGTTCATAAAGTAAGTGCTGGACATTTGGATAGTCGGCTTTCTGTGTCACAATATACATGTTGTAGAATGAAAAGTACTTGAACTGTGCAGCAATAAAGTCATATTCCCGTGTTTCCCGTGGTACAATGTCTGTGAGATCTAGCCCATCTCTCACTCGGGTAGTTCCATAAAGGCTGAGCCCAAGTAAACCCAGAAAAAGAAAAATAACCACAATCTGCAACAGAAAAGAGAGACATATTTGGTTTTAGACTTCAAAAGGAGCTAACAACTCATAATGTCATACTACAAAGCCAAATTCAAAATAAACATCCATCAGTACTTTCAAGTTTTTATTTTTCTGGTGTTTTTTTCATGCATACACATACTACAAGACTAAGGTAATTTGTTCTTCCTTGAAGGGGCTCTGCATCATGAATGAGAAATTCTTTCATAGTAAAGTTTAAAAGGGACTTTAATTTCACTGTTCACAAGTTTATATTACTAAAAGTCACCAGAACCCTCACTTATAACGTATATTTGAAGTGTGTCTCTATAACGCTTGCAAGATAAAACTTCTAAAATAAGAAAAACTTCTATAATAAGAAATCAGCTGTGAAATTATTAAAAAACTGATATTTCACAAGAACTGTATTTATTCCTTATATTTAATACCACTGCCAAGATAGTTTTATAACTGAGCAAGGCAGAAGTCTAACTTTCAAAACAGGTAGATAGTTCCCCAATTACCTTAGCTTTTGGTTTTAAGAGGAATGGAGCATAATGCTTTTCTGCAAAAGATGAAAGTGTCCACTTTGTACAGGGTTGCTCAAGGCAATGTATACTGGAGTCTGAGAATTGGGAAAGTAAATCCCTCGTCGAGCTTGTGCTTTCTGGGCTCTGGCAGCTCAGGTTATCTTGTGTCACTGTCACTGGCTGCACAGATATTTCTGAGCGGGGCTCTGCTGTGGTGTAGTACACCTGCGTGTGAGGATCATATTCTGTGCGCAGCTGCACCGTGGACTGCATTGTAATCTGAGTTTCGTGTGCAAAGCTGTGGCTGCTGTAGGGGGGTGGAGGACTGTAGCAAGTATTGTCATTTTCCACATATGCTTGAGGCTCAACCTGAATCACTCTAGTGACACACGGGCTGTAAGAGAAGAAAAAAACATCTGATTGCATTGAGACAGATCCTTATTTCAATCAGGCTAGATAGGATAACATGCTTTCATCTGAGATTGCTTCTGCTTCTTTTGGACTGTTGATACCAATTACATGTAAGGCTTAGATGTTAATTTCATTCTGTGCATTTAGGAAACATCTCTCAGACATGGTTCATAGTGCAGGCCCCTTGAGAATACATTTCTTGTCCTCCAGGAAGAAGGAAACAGCATCTGTCTGAAGACATTGACATGTACACACATCACTCCATTAATTACACATGCTCATCAGGTAGTTGTACACAGTCTAAATGCACACCCATGCTGAGAATTAAGATATTTAGATGAAGAGGGAAATGCATGACATAGTTAGTTCTTGTGTTTAGAACAAATGAAGTAACTGTTAAATAATATTTCGGCCTTCAGCATAAGATCTTAGACTTTTGGGAGGCAGGTTGAAATGATTTGCCATATATCAACTGATTTTATAAATCAGGAAAATATTAAAGTATTAATGAAAGGATTCATTCCTAGGAAGGGTGGGCCATATGAAGAGACAAAACCACAAAAGTAATTGAAGTATTCCCTTTATTTTAATCTATGCAAGACCCTAACAATTACCTAGTTTATATAAAAAAATATAATTATTAGAGACAAGCCTATTTCTGTATATGAGAAATGACAAATGGACAATAATAAACAGTATCAGGTATTTTTCACCAAGTGCACAAATCCTACAAAAACAAGAGGAATTCAGAATGTTGCCTACCTAATCAAAACAAGCTCTCACTAACTGCATTTCTTCACATGCAAAGGGGCTGAATTCTGATGCACATTTGGTGCAGCTTTAGATGAGGGAATAAATGGAAGGTCTGAGTGCTCAGAATTCCTGAGAATCAGGGCTCCAATACTCTAATACATTCAGCTGTTCTCTGAAACTATGAATAAGAAATAGCTTGGGATCTACTCCCTGTTTTAACCATTCCCTCAGAAACAAATGTTTTCTTCCTTTAACATTAAATATCAAACTATCAGCTCCTGGATGTGTGTAAAAGGCTAAAATGTCCCAATGCAGATTCTCCACATCTTGGTTATGACAGTAGGAGTACACATGTAGAAATGTAGCTCATCCTCTTCACTGCAGTCAAAAGCAAAAACTGAGGTAGAAAAGATGTTTCATTTCCAAGCAGTGGTTCCACTGGCAACAGCAGAATCCTAACGCCCAGAATAGGCTCCAACTTGGCTGTGTATCAGCTCAGAGTATATTTGTACACACTTTAGAATGGCAGTATTATCTTTCTGTATTACTACTGCAGCCACAAAAGACATTTATCAAGCATTATCCTGTATTGGTAGTGACTATTCCTTATGGTGCTATGAAAAATTCATCTAAGGGGAAGTCATTCCACTGTTTATTTATTTAGGTTTAAAGGCATAAAAGCATAAAAATTAACACATAACGATTTAGTGTAAGTCTGGCTTCTCAGTATCCTGAGTTATGTACAGCTTTCCAAGATTAGCTAGTACTGGCACTGGACACCTTGCAGTAAGTCATAACCTTTTAAAAATACTTCAATATAGTCCTAAATAGTGGATCTTTCAGCTGCTTTCAGAAAGTTGTTCTCCAGCAGTCAAAATGAACATATTGTAGGAATGAAGGAAAAAGTGTTGGGGAAGAGAGGGAGACAGATGTATTTCAGCTTTTCCCTTCAGGCAGGTAAAAAGCAAGGTAGCAAATGTAAACCAGTCACTAGCAATGAAAGGGTAACAATAACATGCTGACCCCATTTTAATGAAGAACTCCCACTCCTGGCAAGGAATGGGTGCACTGATTGGTGACCACAGAAAGGACAGAGCTCACTCTCACCTTGTAAAACAGCAAAATATGTCCAGTCTCCTGTCTTCCCGACGATAAAGGTCCATGCTCAGGATAGCAGGGAAAATCAGCAGAACCATAGCAAAATTGAACACCACCACAACTGCTGCCTAGAGACAATCATAGGAGAAGTAATGCTGCTAAACTTCATATATGGCATCAGCTTTAAGAAGCATAAAAATCCCTTTGAGTTCTCATCCCCATTTATCACTGCAACCCATCTGATACTTTCAGGCTTTTGCCTGAGCAAACTGAGATATATATTTACATTCATTATGGTAAGACCTATGGTAGTCCTACCATTTCATTATGGTAGGGCTATTGTGGCAAATTAATTTAATACTCAATCTCCTATTATTATAATACATCTGTGCCTGGACATATGGTGATTTTTTTAAAGAGGAAAAACAGTATGTTGACTCAGTAATCATGTTTTTACCTAAAATTCTGACATATTTAGAGTCTTGAGGCAAAATAAAATGGAAGCAAACCTGAAACTAGAACTGAAGGTTTTACATTTATGGGATCTGAAGCAATTTAAGTATCACAATAATATTAAAGCATGTTATTAAATCAGAAAATAAGATCTCAGTAAATTAAAAAAAAAAAATCAGATCACTTTAGTGAAATACCATGCAATTGATAGTCTTACTTAAAAGTTTAGCCAAGAAAGAGCAATATTTTGAGTTTATCAGGGATTATTTTTAAAGTAGAATCAAAATTAAACCAATACCACACAGCAAATATATGTATTAATATGCCTTTGCTTAACAGAGCTTGATTTATGAGCCAGTCTTCCAAAATGAGACTTAAATTAGAACAAGAATACTTGATTTAATTTGTAAAGCAAGTATCACATAATGAAAAAAACAACCTCCCCGCCCACCCCCTTTCAAACCATACTCTAAACCCTTTCCCACACAGAGATTCCCAGAGAATTTCCATAAACATATGTGGTGCAGCATCTATCATTATTATTGATAGCATTTATTTGTAATGCAGAATTGTTAGGAGCCCTACCCATCACAAAGGGAAAGCTGGGCACTGGGAAGTGGAAGACAGTTGTAAGAGCAGGAGAAATACTGGGGGGAAAATTGTTCAGCCACCAACCAATGAAAAGAAAAAACCCTTTGAAAGCCTTATGTTTTACCCATTTGGTAAGCAGTAGCCATCCCAATAGTTGCCCATTTTCATGTTAAGTTATCTATATATATATAAACCATCAATTGCCTCCACCTGTAACTCCTGAAATAATGAGTACTTGGATAAATACAGTCTTAAAGAAGAACAAAAGCTGGGACACAAAGAAGACCCAAAATAAATGTGATGTATTTTT